CTTTTATTGGACCAACGTCTGTTGGTGAAAGAGACAAGCTTTTGAGCTTTCACCAACAGAAGTTGGGCCAATAAAAGATATTACCTCACCCACCTTCTCCCACCAATATCCTGAGACTAACATTGCTACAACTCTGCAGACAAAATACTAGTCATTTATCACATTAGGAAAAAAAAACAAAACACACAGTGATTTTTCTAAGAGACAAATAAAAGCGGATGATCAAGCTGTTGAACGATGAAGGAAACGGAAATGTGCCTGATTTATACTGGTGTAACTGACAGCAGAATTTGACCTGATGTCTAGCATAGGTATGTGTTCCACACATGACCTTCTCTCAATGGGTTATTTAAACTTCTTTTTAAAAATATTTATTGTTTTATAGTATTAACAAGGATGGAAATGAGAGAATGGGAGCACTAAGCAAGAGAGAATATAAGAGAGATGAAGAGTATTGTAGGGCCTTGAAGGTAATTACAAGAAACTTGACTTTGATGCAGGAGAGAAGGGTGATGCAGTCAGACTGGTGAGATAAGATTATCTTAGTGGGTGCATTTTGTCTGAATGGGGAGGTGGGGCAGCTACTGAGTGACAAAGAAGAGGCTACAGAGATCCGGACTCAAGGGGAGGGTGTGGATCTGAATTTTAATTGCGTAGACAGAGAAAACAATTGGTCACAGAAAGATTTGGTAGGAAGAACTGGCAAGGTATGGACATTTCGTGAATGTGGGGCAACAAGAATGGGAGTGGAAGATGACCCCAGTTTACAAACCTGGGTGATAGGCAGGATTGTGGTGTGCATAAACAGTGACACAGAAGTGGAGGGGTGTTCCTTTCCTCCCGTTTTCTCTCGTGCTGAAGACAGCGTAAGTTGACCTCCTGTACTACTATTAAGTTACGGTGACTGCTTCAACATATATATACACACACAAACCTTATGCTGCCATCTTTATACATCACAAAGGAGCAGTAAAGGACACAGCACATGTAAATGCCTCTTAGCAGCCTAAAATCTTTTTCACTTAAAAATAAAATTGCTTCAGTATTACCAATGAAAAGTTTGTTAATGTACTGAAAGTTTAAATAAGGGGTGGGTTTTTTTGTACACACAGGTGAACATTTTAAAGAATAGAAGCCTGAAATTAAATTTCTAAATCCATATTTAGGCACCTAACAGTGGGATTTTCAAAAGCACTTAAGTGGGTTGAGAGCATAAGTCCCACTGACTTCAAACTGCAAACCTCACAAGAGGAGTGTAGCCGGGTTAAAACATTTCAGTTTTCTTGATTTGTAGAAGCAGAGTGTATTTGAAGATGGTGTTGGTTCCGAATATACCACAGGCTATTGGCTTATCAGTTTATGTTGTTTGTGACAGCTGTAAGCATGGAAACTTCCAAGACTACTCTATTGAGATGTGCCACACACTAGATACATAGCATATTCATAGGCTATTGAATCAATAAAGGGAGTGTGTATCTTCGTGTTCTGGATCACTGGGTGGGTCTACTGTGGTATCTGGCATTGCTGGAGTGTAATTACTACAAATTCCAATGCTGGTTATGCACATGTCCAATATCTTGAATCTTCAGTGTCAGGAGATAGCAGGATCGCAACCACTGAACTAAACACCAGCTTTCTATGGGGATCACAGTGGGCTGCAGGAGGAAACTGTAGCCTAAGTCGCCAATCTGGAGGAAGAGGAACACAAGTTTCCACTCTGAGAAAGTCTAGAGGCCTGAATAGGGGTGCCCTCAAGGAGGCCATAGAGGAGTTAAGGGTGCTGTTGCCCCAGAACTGACACACATGGTGGTAGCCATGTGATAATATAGTGTTTACCAGTGACCACCCAGCCTTCATAAAGCAGAGTGGAAGATGTATTCAGAACAAACCCATTACAGAGAAAACATATCTTAAACAATGAACAGTATACACCAGAGGTGGGCAAACGAAGGCCCGCGGGCCACATCCAGCCCGTGGGACCGTCCTGCTCAGCCCTTGAGTACAACCCGGGGAGGCTAGCCCCTGGCCCATCCCCTGCTGTCCCCCCTCCCCCACAGCCTCAGCTCGCCACACCGCCAGCGCTCTGGCCTGCTACTCCTGCCAGGCAGTGCCACGGCGTGGCTAGCTCCGGCTGGGTGGTGGGGCTGCAAGGTCCTGCTGCTCTGAGTGGCATAGTAAGGGGGCGGGGAGCAGGGCTAAGAGGCAGGGAATCTGGGGGGCAGTCAGGGGACAGGGGGCGGTTGGATGGGGCGGAGGTTCTGGGGGGGGCGGTCAGGGGACTGAGAACGGGGGGGGGGTTGGATGGGTCGGGGATTCTGAGGGGGGCAGTCAGGGGCAGATAGGGGGCGTGGCCAGGCTGTTTGGGGAGGCCTTCCTTACCCGGCCTTCCATACAGTTTTGCAACCCCAATGTGTTTGCCCACCCCAGTCTAGACTCATGCTAAGCTTACCAGCTATTATCCGTCATGCGCATGAAACCCTGGCAGTTCTGTACACAAGTTTGTCAGTTCTTTGTTCCAGAGTGAGTCTGCCCTGAGCCAGACTCACACAGTTTTTGAGACCTTTTTCTCCCAGGCCTTCTGACCTAGGTAAAACCAATCTCTGCCACTTTCCCCAGGGACCAAAGCTTCAATGGGCAGGGTATCTGCATAACTGGCATTGGGAATTTGCAATAATTACCCCCTTCCTCCCCACAGTGATTCCACAGGAAACCCACTCAGAGAGCCAGGAACACAAAGATATATTACACTTATTGATACAATAGTCCATGAATTTCCTGTGTTCCCAAGGCATCAGGCACATCTCAATACATTAGTCTTTGAAGCTTCCATGTTGCCAAGATCTCACATCTGTCTCACCGTTCTCACAATTAAGGTGTTAATGAAGCTCGGGACTTGTCTTTCTAAGCACAGATGACCATTTTAAGTGTGAGCCTGTGATTTTTAGAAAAATTCAGGTAAAATCTGAAATTCTATTAACAATTAGGAAACTAAAGAAACAAGTACAAAGCATCCACTTAAGCACTTTAAGAAAAAAATCTATATGTTGGTAGAACTTTACTAAGTCATGGGTTTTTTGGTTTTTTTTTAAAGTTAGTCAGATTGAGGATTATAAGACCTATTTATAGGAGACCAAAATAATTACACTAGTTGTGAACATTTACTTCATCCTCCTGATGTCACTTTAGGGTTATGTGATTGCCCATGAATATTAAAACAACATGCCTTTATTCTCCTTAAACATACAGAATTCTGTATTTCTTAAAATCACCTGACAATTTGCCTTATATTGCCACCAGAGAAGTATTGTATATTGGTTGATTTGAGAAAATTTATGGTAGCATCAGGGATGTGAAAAACTCTTAAAACTTTTTTAAGAGAAAAACTCTTAAAAGCGATCACACAAGATCTGGAGTGGTGATGAGGAAAACATGTTGAAAGCACTGGAGGCAGTTTGGAACAAATAGTTTCCAAACCAAACACCCGCGTGAAACTGGACAACTTCACACGTTACAACAAAGTGCCTGCCCGCAAAACCATATAAAGTAAAAGGTGAAATGTGAGTCAGTGTCCCTTCCACCCTCTCTCTCTCTCACACACACGCCCCCCACATCCACTGGTAGATCTCCCTCTGCTAGCTTGACGCTCACCAGGCTGCTGTGTTTGGGCCCTGTGCTTTAAGCCTCCTGAGTCTGAAAAAGAGAGTCCAAGCACGGTCTCTTACCAGGGTCTCCAAGCACACTGTCAGAGAGCAGATCCTCTGTTTTAGGATGGCCATACATCCCATTTTGGCTGGGACAGTCCCTTTTTTAAGCCCTGTCCCAGGCGTCCTGAAGTTGCCAAATGCCCACTTTTGCGAAAAAAAATTGGGGTTTGGGAAGAATGAGCATAGAGGCGAGTGGTGATGCCAGCCCCATGCAGAGGGAGGAGGGAGGCAGGGCTCAAGCAAGCAACGACGCCACCCCAGCCTCACACAGTGGGCAGGCAGGGCTCGGGCGAGCAGCAACGCCAGCCCCAGCATTTGGGAACTATGGTCACCATATCTGTCTAGCACCCCTTTCTAAGAGCTGAGGCCCTGTGGTTCAACTGCCTACACCCTCTGAGTAATGCTGGCTCCCCAGACTCCACAGTGGCTTAAGCACACCATCTCTCAACTGCTGCCCTGTGGGTGCTCCAGGTTCACAGTTTAACTCTTCTGGGATCCACAACAGCCTAAGCAGACAGATGCACAGACAGACTTTGCATAGGATTCTAAGGATAATTATCCTTTACTTAAGTAGTACAAGATATACCTTATACAAAATAATAAACACACCTGTTCACATTTCCCTGTCTCAGCTTTCTCGCCATGCTGGAGAGTTCTTTAGGTTTAGGGTGCTGGACTAGATGACCTCCTGAGGGCCCTTCCAACCCTGATATTCTATGATTCTAGGGTACAGTCCTCTCAGGAGTCCAGAATCACCCACTCCTGTAGTTCATGGCTTCTCCTCTGAATCATGGAGCCTCTCCCCCCGACTCTGACCCCTGCAATCCATGCCCATGCTTCCTCTAAAATGGTAGGTGAGAGACCCTTTCTTTTACAACCTTCTGTTTCCTTTAGCAGTAACATAACAATCAGGCTTATTAGGTGAGCAAAGTCCCCTACCAGGTGATCCCTTGTTCTGTGTCCCCCACCCCAGAGTTCAGACTTGAAAAACTGGCTTGCCCTAGGCAGCAGCCATCTCTTTGTCCAAGGATGCGGCATTTGAACGGACTATCACAGTTTAACAACCTTCTATTGTTAGCCCTGTGTCAGGTGCAAGAATTTCTCCTGTTAGCCACTGTGGGTTTTAGCTCAATATGGAGAAACAAAGACAGTTGAGAAGACAAAGGCAAGCCTTACAATCCAAAGAGAGTTTGCACCCTGACACGTACAGAGTTAATAATCTCAATCAGAATTCATCAGTGGTACCCTGTCAGATTCTCCAAATTGTCACGTACAGAGTAAGTAATAAGTTCCTACCTATTAATAGAAAAGGAAGCAATGGATCTGATAAGGGACGCCACCGCTCCAACTTTACCAGCTTCAACTGCTCCCAGTAATCTGTATTTGACAGTTTCTTCATAACTGACGAAAGGCTGGTTGTAAACAACAATCTTCCCCTTGGCATCTTGAGATCTTTTGTGCAATTCATCAAAAGACGTGACCACTAGGACTTCAGCAGTAATTCCTAGAGGAAAACACCACAGTAGTTTTAGATGTGTTATCCTATCACCATCCCCAAGCCACTCTGGCACATACAAAAATACACACCCTGTACAAAATGAAAACCTTGTACTGGAAAAGATTGCATGTAAAGTACTTCCTCAGAAGTTATTCAACATGTATAACCATGTCCTTCATATAAATCCTGCTATCAGCTGATGTTAAAATTGAAACTGAAGGCAAGAGGAGATGTGAGAAAAGACTTTTTCCAAATAGGCTTTAATGCATGAATGCAATTATTTAAAGTGCAAAAAAACATTTTGAAAGACTTTCTATGGCATTTATAAAACAAATATTTAATCTTCTCTTTTTCTTTTTGTGGATACAGACTAACAGGGCTGCTACTCTGAAACTAATCTTCTCTTGTAATTGTTCTGATATGTTGCTAAACAACTTAGTCTGAAATGGCCCACCTTGATTATCATACACATTTTAAAGAGAGTGGTCACTTTGGATGGGCTATTACCAGCAGGAGAGCGAGTTTGTGGGGGGGGGCGGCGGGGCGGAGGGTGAGAAAACCTGGATTTGTGCTGGAAATGGCCCAACTTGATTATCATACACATTGTAAGGAGAGTGATCACTTTAGATAAGCTATTACCAGCAGGAGAGTGGGGTGGGAGGAGGTATTGTTTCATGGTCTCTGTGTATATATAATGTCTTCTGCAGTTTCCACAGTATGCATCCGATGAAGTGAGCTGTAGCTCACGAAAGCTCATGCTCAAATAAATTGGTTAGTCTCTAAGGTGCCACAAGTACTCCTTTTCTTATCACACCCATGAAAGTACATAGTTTCGGAATGATTCACTTAGAAACTGATGCATTCCGTGAATCAAGCTTTTCACAAATGGTTAATGTGAATATTTACCATTCTTGAAGACAAACTGCTGTAAAACCCTTTGTAGTATATTTAAAATCAAAAACATTTCCCATGCTTAATTTACAGTACAAGTTAATTGCATCACAGAGGAAAATTTACCATATTTTTCAAATGAACTATTTTGTAAACATTTTGAATTTGCTATAATCTTATTGCCTTGTCTGAGGAAACAAAGGCATTTAAAAGTAAGCAGGTTCTCCCATACCACAGAAAGTTTCCCACATCTCAGAACATTCATTTGGAGATTACCCTTAGGCTTGAAAGGATTAGATTTTATCAGTAAATGTCGATTTCACAGCATGTATGCAAAGCCACGACAAAATATTTCCATCAGTAAGAACTGATATGTACAGCTAGGCAAAGAAAGAAAAATGGTGCTTGAAAATTTAGTCAAATCCAGTTATTAGACTTTTGGATTAGGTTTGTTACAAATGAACTAATGAACAAATAGTAAGAACGGGTATGATTTCTTGATTTAAGGATATTTACTTTGTATGTTTTGACATGCTATGTTGACAATTTGTGTTCATAACAGTTTTTATAAAGATTTAATTATTTGCATTTCAACATCTAGTACCATTACATAAATGTCTGGCCCTCCCATAATTTCCCGTAACTGTGAAAATTAGGAAAAAAAGATCAAAATCTAAAAAAAAATGCTTAAAAATAAACAGATACTATCCGTCAAAATTATTTTAAAAATTGAATTCTACCAAACCTAATGGATTTCATGGCTTTTGAGAAATCATTCACAAAATGACCACAATGCTTACGATCCAATCCTGTGGATTGGTTACAGCGATAAGTGGAAACTGTTTAACAACCAGAACCAGACTTTGCTGCTAAATATAGAAGCAGTATGGATGCCTGGAGTTTTAGTGCTGTACATTTGGCCGAGAAGCCACAAAACACGTCAGTAAAAATTGAAAGTAATAACAAATGCTTGGCCAGCTTGGTTTGTTCTGCAAAATTAAAAAAGAAGCTGGGTATCCTTGCAAGTCTTAAATAGCTTACCCTAAAACATTATTAAAATGTTATTTGGAAACGCGTTTAAGTTAATTGCATATGCTAAAGAATACTTAATGCTGTTATCTGATGCACACTGATATGACTCTCAATCTCTCTCTTGCTTTGTCTCTCAGCATCAATTTACCCGAGTTAAATGCTCAATTTATGGTTTTGGGGGTTTGTTTTTTTAAGGTCAAAACAGTATAAATTGCCTTCCACACATGAAAGAAAATGTTTCACATTTAAAAAGTCTGTTTCTTAAAATACACAGTTGTAAGAATGCAGCAAACAACTATTAAATAGAAAAAAAACCCAGGGGTTTTAGCTGCAGAATTACCCTCGTGTGAAACATGAAAATTTTAATTGGATAGCTGTTCAAACTTCCAGCTTTACAAAAAGGGCCACAACAGGCCAAACCAAAGTATTACCTTCAAATTTTACTGAAGTTATAGTTGGCTTGAAGGTGAAGTGTACTGATAGGTTCCAGCAGCTTCTAATGAACAACAGGTTTAACTGTATACCTTAAGACAGGATCATTCTGAAGTCTGGAACTGTGCCACTGGAAATAAAGCCAGGTATCTGCAAAATTTCACTTTCCACTGGAAAAATCAAGGTCACAGCAGGCTGGTACTGCAATCCGCACTTCATATTAGCTTTTGTAACAGATGAGAGAAAATGACACCATCTAACTCACCCCAATGCTCCACTTAGATGCCATACCAAGCATTAGAATGACATGCAATATACTACTGATTGCTCATCAAGGGAAGCAAGGAATGGAACTGTTCTTGGCACTGCCTTATTGCATTCATGAACAAAAATACCATCTCTGGGTGTTGTTTTTTTTTGTTTTAAGGCAAGGTACTTGCTATCTCTAGCAATCTATAACTCCCCAAGCAAATTCATGCAGAATTACCTTTATGATCCTCAAAGAAGCTAGGTATCAAGGAGCTTTGTATTGTGGAGTCTTAATTTTTTATTCCCAAGAAAGAGAATGCAGAACGACAAACTTAATTCTCTAGCCTTATACTTCCACTTTTGATTGTTCCCAAATAGGTTTGCTTTATTTAGTCTTCGACAAAATAAAACAAAGGTTGCCTTTCCATGTTTAACTTAATGGCAGCATGATAAGCACCGAGAAGTCTGCTGCTTGCCGGGGGCTAAGATTCGCAATGTGACGGAGAGACTGCCGAGACTCATCAAGCCCTCGGATCGCTACCCCTTCCTGCTTCTCCACGTGGGCACCAATGATACTGCCAAGAATGACCTTGAGCGGATCACTGCGGACTATGTGGCTCTAGGAAGAAGGATAAAGGAGTTGGAGGCGCAAGTGGTGTTCTTGTCCATCCTCCCCATGGAAGGAAAAGGCCTGGGTAGGGACCGTCGAATCGTGGAAGTCAACGAATGGCTACGCAGGTGGTGTCGGAGAGAAGGCTTTGGATTCTTCGACCATGGGATGGTGTTCCAAGAAGGAGTGCTAGGCAGAGACGGGCTCCACTTAACGAAGAGAGGGAAGAGCATCTTCGCGAGCAGGCTGGCTAACCTAGTGAGGAGGGCTTTAAACTAGGTTCACCGGGGGAAGGAGACCAAAGCCCTGAGGTAAGTGGGAAAGCGGGATACCGGGAGGAAGCACAGGCAGGAATGTCTGTGAGGGGAGGGCTCCTGCCTCATACTGGGAATGAGGGGCGATCAACAGGTTATCTCAAGTGCTTATATACAAATGCACAAAGCCTTGGAAACAAGCAGGGAGAACTGGAGGTCCTGGTGATGTCAAAGAACTATGACGTGATCGGAATAACAGAGACTTGGTGGGATAACTCACATGACTGGAGTACTGTCATGGATGGATATAAACTGTTCAGGAAGGACAGGCAGGGCAGAAAAGGTGGGGGAGTAGCACTGTATGTAAGGGAGCAGTATGACTGCTCAGAGCTCCGGTACGAAACTGCAGAAAAACCTGAGTGTCTCTGGATTAAGTTTAGAAGTGTGTGCAACAAGAGTGATGTAGTGGTGGGAGTCTGCTATAGACCACCGGACCAGGGGGATGAGGTAGATGAGGCTTTCTTCCGGCAGCTCACGGAAGCTACTGGATCGCATGCCCTGATTCTCATGGGTGACTTTAATTTTCCTGATATCTGCTGGGAGAGCAATACAGCGGTGCATAGACAATCCAGGAAGTTTTTGGAAAGCGTAGGGGACAATTTCCTGGCGCAAGTGCTAGAGGAGCCAACTAGGGGGGGCGCTTTTCTTGACCTGCTGCTCACAAACCGGGTAGAATTAGTGGGGGAAGCAAAAGTGGATGGGAATCTGGGAGGCAGTGACCATGAGTTGGTTGAGTTCAGGATCCTGACACAGGGAAGAAAGGTAAGCAGCACGATACGGACCCTGGACTTCAGGAAAGCAGACTTCGACTCCCTCAGGGAACGGATGGCCAGGATCCCCTGGGGGACTAACTTGAAGGGGAAAGGAGTCCAGGAGAGCTGGCTGTATTTCAAGGAATCCCTGTTGAGGTCACAGGGACAAACCATCCCAATGAGTCGAAAAAATAGTAAATATGGCAGGCGACCAGCTTGGCTTAATGGTGAAATCTTAGCGGATCTTAAACATAAAAAAGAAGCTTACAAGAAGTGGAAGGTTGGACATATGACCAGGGAAGAGTATAAAAATATTGCTCGGGCATGTAGGAATGTTATCAGGAGGGCCAAATCGCACCTGGAGCTGCAGCTAGCCAGAGATGTCAAGAGTAACAAGAAGGGTTTCTTCAGGTATGTTGGCAACAAGAAGAAAGCCAAGGAATGTGTGGGCCCCTTACTGAATGAGGGAGGCAAACTAGTGACAGAGGATGTGGAAAAAGCTAATGTAGTCAATGCTTTTTTTGCCTGTTTTCACTAACAAGGTCAGCTCCCAGACTGCTACGCTGGGCATCACAAAATGGGGAAGAGATGGACAGCCCTCTGTGGAGATAGAGGTGGTTAGGGACTATTTAGAAAAGCTGGACGTGCACAAGTCCATGGGGCCGGACAAGTTGCATCCGAGAGTGCTGAAGGAACTGGCGGCTGTGATTGCAGAGCCATTGGCCA